TGTATGTAGGGGAAAGCCGGGCCCCGTGCCCACCATCCCCCGGGGAAACACCTCTGAAGTCCACTGGCCAGCCTTGTTATTTCAGGGCGTGCTGTACCGAGTGTAGCTGCAGCTGACCGGCAGCCTAAGGGCACAGGAAGGTGTGTTCTCACTGACATGAAGTCTCACAGGGCTGGGCTCTCCTCCTCCCTGTGGCTCCTTTTCCTGCAGTATTTGTCTCCCAAAATGCTGCAGCAGGGAGAGAGAGAGATTGAGCAGGGTAATGTTGAGCTGAGCAGTGTTTCTCGAACTGTATTAAAAAGGGATAGTTATAGTAGTCATCCTTGTGTGTATTCTGATTTAGTTTGAAAGTTTTTACTTTTTGACTATTTAGTATGATGCTGCCTGTTGGTGTTTCATAAATGGCTTTTGTTAGATTGAGATAAAGACCATTTATTCCAGTTTCTTGTAGGGTTTTCTTTTTTATCATGAATGGGTGTTATCCTTTGTGAAAGGCTTTTTCTGCATCTGTTGAGCTGATGGTATGATTTTTGTCATTGGTTCTGTTCTTACAGTGTATTACATTTATTGATTAGTATGTGTTGAACCATCCATGCATCCTTAAGATTATTCCCACTTGGTCATGGTTGAAATTTCTTGTTGATTTGCTGAATTCTGTTTTCCAGTATCTTATTGAGGATTTTTGCATCTTTGTTTATTAAGGACATTGGCCTATAATTCTCTTTTTAGGTTTGATCCTTCTTTGTTTGGGGTATGAGGGTAATACTTGCTTCAGGAATGTGTTTAGGAGTACTGCTTACCTTTTCATTTCATTAGAGTTGAGGAGTAATGGCATTAAATCTTCCATAAATTTCGTGATGAATGCGGCAGTGTATTACTCAGGACCTGGGCTTTACTTTGATAGTAATTTTTAATTAGTTCTTTAGTTTCATTGACTGATACTGAGTTATTTACACTTTTTATATCTTCTTGATTTTGCAGTAGTAATTCATATGTATCAAGGAATCTGTCCATTTCTGAGAAGACTTTGATGTTGAATAATATAACCTATTTATTCTGTTTTAGTTCCAGACAATGAGGGCTGATTTACTTAATGAAAAGTCTGGTATTTTATGGATCATCTTTGCAGCTTAGGAAGGGACTTCACAGAAGTATAACACAGCTTTACTTGTTACACTCAAATGTGTCTGCACTAACTAGAAGGATGCTGGAACAGAGAACTGGAAACTACCTGAGTGGAGATTGTAACATCCAGTGCAGGCTTGTGAAAGTTGACAGAGGAAGATTTCATGCTCTTGTCTGGTAAA